CATATATTTATATATTTACGGATCGGATCGGATATCCGCTTTCCAAAATTTTAATATTTGCGATTTGCTTCGACTTTAACGGATATTGAATTTTAGTATTTGCTTTGATTCGAAAGTTTACGGATATCCGAAATTTTCGGATCGAATCGAAACGAATAACGGATCGAATCAAATATAACGGATAAAATGCCCAGCCCTATCTATAGGTTATAAGTTGACGAAAGAAGAAACACATACAAATTTCTTAAAAATAAACACAGTTTTTTGATGAAATAATTGCTGAAAATAAGAATTATTGAGCCTGATGGGCTTTTAGAATAAGATATTTAATTGGGCCTCCGACAGTTTCTGCGGATCTGACCATTGGATCCAGTAAGAGGCTTGATATCACCCATCTTAATCATAGCTCTTACGAAGTCACGGTAAAATGTGTTTAGACTGCGGCTGTAAGTTTTGACCAGAGAATCCGTGGAACCGCCGTTGAAAAGGACCTGGTCTGATGTCAGGAGACCCTTTTTATCGAGAAGCTGGTTGTAGTAGCTATGGTCAAACCTAGTGGGAGAGCCGATGTCAAGAGGGGCTTTCTTGTTGTCGCCAGAGCCTGAGGTAGCAGGACAGCTCTTACGTCTAGATAAGGCGTAAGAGAGGTTGATGTTGGTTTCGTTGTAGATACGGTTCCTGAAAGTGACACAGTTGGCTAGTCCAATAGTGTGAGCACCAGAGAGAGCGACCATGTCACGTACGGACAAGCCTTGGGCTTTGAATCTGTTCACGAGGTTGTTAAGTGTACTGAATGGAGAAGGGATGACGCCTGTATTGGCCGCCGTGAAGCCTGCATTTTTGGAATCTCGTCTTCCTAGCTTCACGCTCCATTTAGGCCCACCTAACTAGTTAATCAAATTGAGAGGTGTAAAGTTTAACAATGTTGATCAGGATTTTAATGTTTTCAATTATATAAGAGAATTTTATTAAAATTTTAGTATTATATTATTGTAAATCTATGAACATGCACATCAGTGATTTTTGCTAAGTTTCTTCACTAAATATATTATCAAAATATTGTAAAAAGAAAATAGAAGAAAAAAATGTGAGATATACATTCTTTTTAAAAGATATTTAGAACATTAGGAGACACATAAGTTAGAACATCATTATCGGTAGGTTCTAAAAGGGTTTTTAGTGCATTTTTAATGAGGGACCCTACCAAAATATTAAGATTCGGTTTTAGAAAACCCAAAATAAAAACCTAATTTATAGGGTTTTTTGCACTGCGCGGATTCTACCAACACGTGACGATCCACGATTGATTGATCGATGCATCTTTTAATTATTAATTTTTTTTCGAAACAAAAAAAAAATTAAGAAACCCTTTCACGGTTTTAGGGATAATGATAGCCTTACATATATTGTCTTGTGATTAATATTTATTTTTCATATTTACTTTTCAATTACATAATAAATATATATATTATAAACTTGGAATACTATCTAGAGAAACTATCACATTATGCTCTAAATAATACTATTTAGTTATCTAAAATGTATTCATAAAGTTATCACTGAACGATTAGTAAGTGCATATATATATTTTTTTTTTTCGAACACCGTGCATATATATATATATATATATATATATAAAGTATAAAGGTAGATGTGCTAACCAGGATGACGGAGTCACGGGCACTGATGGCGAGAATGTCTGCACATGAGACAACGCCTGGGCAGAGTTTCTCAACCCTCGACTTGATTTTGTCTATCACTTCGAATCCTCTTGCAGAGTTATTGTTTGGTCCTGCAGTTTTCTCTCCCCTAAAAGAGGAAGTGTCGTCCAACAATATGGATCCGTCACATCCCTGTTAAACCATTATAAACCAACATTTCTTTAGCATTTTTATAAAATTGGCATTGTTAGAGTAATTCATGGGAACATTCAATTTTTTTATTACTCAAAAGGAAAAAGAAGACTTACATTGACGAAACAATCATGGAAGAACAAACGGAGGAGAGAAGCACCCATGCGGCGTTCTTTGGCCACCGCCCGCTGCATGACCTGTCTCACGGCTGGGAATAGTGAAGGACAGCTCTTTGCGTAGAAGTCACTACTCAGCTGAGCATGGGTTTGGGTTCCCATCATCAGCATCACCATCATCATCATCAACACCTTTAACATACTTCTCTGCTTATTATTGTACTCCATTTTATTTGCTTTTTATTATTTTTCTTTGTTGTAGGAGTTGTGGTTTAAGAAAGCATGCAAGAGACTGGGGCTTTATAGAGGTTACTTACTTACATGTAGGTGTTGTTTATTTACGAATAAAAGTTTCTTATCAATTATTATCACTCTTTTCATTTTCTAACAATCATAAATACATATGTAAACTACTTGGTCCTTTACGCCACCTCAACCAACTCCTTATTTTCATTTCCCGTTTTTCACCACATTCTCCGTTTTCTTTCTTTTACCAATCATATATTCTCTATTAACTGGCTGGGTTTATTATTGTGGGGGAATGCTAAGTTATAACACATTTTTATTTTAGCATTTTTATTTTAAAATATTACTAGCCGCCATATCAACATCATGGTTAAATTGGGTTATTCTTATAAATCTTTCATCAAAAAATGGCACATGTACTATGGGGCATAGATTCAGTCTAATCACTACTAACGATTATGAATCGGCATCTCATTAATCTTCCCATGATATTAAAACGGATAACCTGGTTTGAAATCCAACAAAACTAATTTAAAATATTAAATTTGATGGGATTTCAAATTACAAAGTGCTCTAATATATGTATACTAATCAACTTTATCCTTGGTTAGTGTGAGTTGATGATCCGATACGTGATGCGATCGTAACAAAAAAATGCTATAAGACAATTGTATTACACTTTTATGAAGATAAAGCTACAAAATACATTCACTTATGTGCATAGGTAGAAGATAAGTTTGGCAGAAGTAGCTGACCTTCCATGCATGCAACCACGACATTCTCATCCTTTCACCTTTCATTTTCATGTCTCGTATTTAAATGAGAAATTCGAAGTTTAGTTCATTGAAATATATATATCCTGTTCACAACTACATTACGTCAACAAAAATACTGTTATTATACATACCAAACCTAGAAAACAAAAGATGCCCAACGCCGTCTATAATTTAACTGTTAATATATATAAGTATGTATGGTAACTATTATAACCAAACGACTATATGCTTTGACCTTACATTTAATTTGGATACTTTGCAAGTTCGTTAGAGGTTGCTACACCCACCAAAGAAGAAAGAAATAGTGATTATGTCATGTTAGAAAAGTAACGAAAAGACCATATTGCAGTGACAATATCAATGATCAACATACCACAACTCAAATCCAATATAAACTTCTCATATTGAGACGTTGAATTTTCAAAGATTGGGGGAAAACATACAATTTTTACAAAGAAAAAAAAGAAAGAAAGAAAGAGGAAAGTGATTGTGAGAGGTTAACGAACAAAGAATCATTAGGTGAAGTGATCTATCAGTTACTGTGCCCTTCCTCTACATTTTCATCATCTCCCAACACCTAATTCAAATAAATAGGGAAAACATATCTAATTTTGTCACGTGGATTGTTGAAAAGTTGAACCACATAGATTTTGTATTTTTCGCAAAGGATTTTGGTTTTGAGTTTAAGCGAGGTCCACTTTTAAAGTTTAACTTTTGTTGAGTTTTTGCTTATGTTATGTTTGTAAGTAATGGTAGATCAGGTGTGTAACCTTTTTCATTCGTGCGAAGAGGGTCCAACGATCGTTTGCATTGAGCATAAAAAATTAACGGTCGCAGTTGCAATGTATTAAACATGTTTAAATCTCAACAACACTCAGAGGAGATGGCAAAATACAAGAAAAAAAACGAGAAGAGAAGTGATACTTGTAACGAAGAGTTCGGGATTATATATGTCTCCTTAGAATATTGAAGCTCTCTTAAGTGTATGTACCACTAAAATAATTAAGGTAATGTATCGAATGGCATAGTAAAACAATTAAGTAGAAGATAGTAAGAAGATGGGATGTGTCTAAATAAAACACGACAAGTTATCACATCACGACTTATCAACACAAGCCTTTAAAGGCTGCTCTACCTCTTGAGCCATTTTAAAGTCATATATAACAAATAACTCCGAATTACCCATCATATAGTAAAACCATCATTTAATTTTATCAAACAATTATATGTGTATATATGATTTTTTTTTGTCGAATATGTATATATTGTTAATTCAATGATATCACCAATAATTTTGATAGTACAAAAAACTAAATGACAATATTGGTGCTACTTGTAACAAAAACTTCTGTATAACAATAGGACAAGGCTGCTAATAATTGACAGCTTAAGAAAGAAAAAAACAATTAAAGAGATGCCAATAATCCAAAAGGGACAAAACAAATGATGGCTAGTCCAACCTGTAAACCATATTCATCTCGTCTTACTTATACATGTTTTGGTTTGAGGAAATTTGCTTGGAGATGTCAAACATCATAGACTAAGCTAGGAGAAGATCATTGAGTTCTCTTAAATCTTTTATTTGACCTCACTACTCTCAGACATTTTCAATCTTTTTCTTAGATTAAAAATTATATATTATAAATGATGATATTTACTCTGCAAACGATCATGAAGATTCATGTTTTAACTACACAGTATTCTCACCACACTAAATCACCATGGTTTGATTTGCATCATACTGAATATTTCATGACATCTTCAACTATATAATCGATGATTAAATAATATTTTTAAGCTTTTAAATAATATTAAATGTAATATTATAATACCATTTCATAAAAGTAGGAACCTTTGTGAAGCAATTAACAAAAAACGAAGATCCTTCGCTCACTTAAAGTCCATTAACCCCAACCAAAACAATAAAAACATAATGGGCCGAGACTTTAGGGCCCGAGGTACTCTTTCTTTTTGTCAACATAGTAAAAAGGTAGAGACAAGGAGGGAGGCTATTTAAAAACAACTAGGGTTTCACTTGTCTTCTCTTCTCTCACAACTTGACCAGAGAGCTAAACGAGAGGAGTCGTCTGGATCAGAGCTAAACTTTCAAACTCCAAACATGGTTCGTCATCCTTCCTCTCTGTTGTTGATTTAGTGACTGTGTGCTTCTTGATGATTTCATAATTTCGATTCATGGTTTGTGTTAGTGTGTTAAAGAATCCTTGTCTTATCTTCATATTAATTTGGATTGTCCTTAGATCTCATGACGGAACATCTATCACTGGAAAATATCATTTGTAACGCTCTAACAACATCTATGTTATGTTTTTGGTTATTACACAGGCGAGAGGTTTAAAGAAGCATATGAAGAGGCTAACTGCCCCTAATCATTGGGGTCTTGACAAACTTGGTGGTGCATTTGTATGTCTTTCTTATTCTCTCTTTCTTGTCTCATTATTACATGTTTGTGTTTATGTCTGAATGGAAATGCTTGTATTGGTTCCAAACAGGCCCCCAAGCCATCTTCTGGACCCCACAAGTCCAGAGAGTGTCTTCCCCTCGTTCTTATCATCAGGAACAGGTTGAAGTACGCTCTTACCTACCGTGAAGTCATCTCCATCTTGATGCAAAGGCATATCCAGGTCGATGGCAAAGTCAGGACTGACAAAACCTACCCTGCTGGTTTTATGGATGTTGTCTCAATCCCAAAGACCAACGAGAACTTCCGTCTTCTCTATGATACCAAGGGTCGTTTCCGTCTTCACTCCATCAAGGATGAGGAAGCTAAGTTTAAGCTTTGCAAGGTCCGAACCATCCAGTTCGGATCAAAGGGAATCCCTTTCCTGAACACATACGATGGTCGCACCATCCGTTACCCTGACCCACTCATCAAGCCTAATGACACCATTAAGCTCGATCTCGAGGAGAACAAGATTGTTGAGTTCATCAAGTTTGATGTCGGCAATGTTGTGATGGTTACTGGAGGTAGAAACACAGGGCGTGTGGGTGTGATTAAGAACCGTGAGAAGCATAAGGGAAGCTTTGAGACTATCCATATCCAAGACGCGACAGGACATGAGTTTGCAACGAGGTTGGGGAATGTGTTCACTCTCGGGAAAGGAACAAAGCCGTGGGTGTCTCTTCCTAAGGGTAAGGGTATTAAGCTTACCATCATTGAGGAAGCAAGGAAGAGGCTTGCTGCTCAACAGGCTGCTTAATTTTTAATTTCCAGCTATTTATTACATCCCTTTTTAGACATTTTATGATTCTTAGACTCTGTTTACATTTTTTGGTACACATCACTGCTCTGTTTTTAAACTTCTGTTATTTATCTATTTCGATAATCTAAAAAATGAAATTTGCGGATCCTTTAAGAGTCCCAATCTTGTTTGCTTAGACCTAATCTAAATGAACTCTCACATCACATGTCAAAGTGTCTCAATAAATCCTTTAATACATGCCATTCTTTTCTTTTTACAATAACAAAACCTCTGATTTAGTAAACAATACAACATCATACCACAACACAATAAAGCTAAGCTAATCATCTAAAACAATACATTTTACAAATCCACCACACAAGGCTTCGCAATTGGTCATTAGCAGATGGTTCGTTACAAACAGTTGGAGCTTTTACTTACCTTCATTTTCTTGCAGTCGTTGACCCTTTAAACAGCTCGTTGATACGCGTCTCAATATCCTCAACTCCAAACTTGATGTACTTGTCTGCATTTTTCCCTTTCCCTAAGTCTCCAAGGTTCTGAAACCTCCCAATGAAGTTCCCATACGCCGGTAACAGCAGCCTAGCCAGTGAGATTCTCAGCTCCTCTCTAAGCTGCTCGTCAAACACAACCCAAGTCGAATGCACTTTACACGTCTCATCAAACTGAACATTGAACTGCTTCAGCTTCTCCTTCATGGTTTTCCCTAACCCGTTCATCCCCGCCGCAGTGTTATCCACCTTAAGCAGCCCCAGCATCTTATTCCAAGCACTTCTCTGATAACTAGAATGATACTGTCTCACTTTAGCATTATGTTTCCGGATCCAATCCTCTCCCAAGAGCAACCCTAGATCCCCATCCTTCACCTTCTGAACAATGTATCTCCCGTTGTTCATCAGAAACACATAACACAAAGCTGGATCTTTATACACTTTAGATTTAACTTCCAAATTACTCTCTAAAAGCTCCATGATCCAAGACATCTGTACAGCCAACAGAGTGCCGTCTTTCGACGGCACACCGTTACTCTCCTCAAACACTTGCTCCAACGTCTGCCTCGACCTACACGCAGCTCGTAGGTAGTTCATAACATAACGAGTGATAGGATGCAAACCACCACCCGGAACCGCAGCTTTCGCCGGATCCCTCCGGATCAAATTCTCAAGCTCCATGAATATACCTCTCACCGCCTCTCCCAAACGTTTCCAAATCGTCACAGCTTCGTTTCTAAGAACCAAACAAAACTGATCCGAGAACACAGACTCAAACTCCCCCATCAAATCCCTCATCGTCTCAAACACGTCAAGCACCTTAAACAGCCTCTCAGGCGACCTGCTACCTATAGCAATCGCGTCCGCGAAGTTCAAAAGCTGAACGGTAGAGCCACGCACCACCTCCATGAACGAAAGATCAGCAGCGGAGGCGAATCCGAAGAAAACACGGTCGCAGAGACGACGCTCACTAGGGAAAAGAATACGTAAGGCGACGTTAACCGCTTTGATCCAACGATCAATCTCATCCTCAAGCTCATGCCACGTCATCTTATGAACTTCTTCGATACTAAGCTTCTTATGTAACCCTAACCTAGACATGCTCTCTTCAACAAACTCTCTCCTACACGCACTGTATACACTAGAGCACGACTTACCATACCCCGCGGCGAGCATACGCTTCGCCATCTCGTGCAGGTCGTTGATCGTCGCTGAAGGGAGCGCGTCGATGATGACGTCGTAGTCCGTTAGCGGCTGCGCCACAGGGATCTGCACAGCCTCTTCTTCTTCTTCAACCTCGTCTTCATCCGAGTCTATACGATGGTTGTTCACAACAAACGACTCCATGAGAGTTCTGAACTCTTCCTCTATGCGGAACATACTTTGCTGGATCAGTTCGTCGGCACGTGTGAGACAAGTGCCTACGGACTTATCGTTCGCCACGTGGCTCCATTCTCTGGTGATGGTGACTAGCTCGTCGATGGTTTCGAGGAAGGCGGATGAGTCGGCGGGATCAGACCAGATTGGATGATCGGCGGAGACGAAGCGGGAGATCTGAGTTTCTAGTGAGTTTAGAGTTCGTTCGAGAGCGGATCCGTCTTGATGACCTTCGGAGAGATTCTCGCGGGAGAATCTACCGTCGAAGGTTGAGAAGATCTGTAAGATATCATCAGCCATGGTTTCGTTGTGGCCAAGAGTCTTGGCTATGTGACGCGCCACCGCGAGTAGCTTTTCTTCACCGTTCTCAGCCATGAGAGAGGTATAATATGAATGAGTAGTAGAGAGGTTTTTTGTGTTATATAAAAAGAAGGGTCAGAGGGACGAGATCGACGGGGTAAGTAAGGAATCGAAGACGGAGAAAGTTCTAAGGTATTGGTAGGAAGAAGAAGACTGGATGTAGAAAAGTTGTGAAATGACGAGAACATCCCTTGGTTCAAGACAGACGCTATCTTTGACTTGGCCGCGTTGTCTGAAAAAAGGTATGTTCGTGTCTTTTTGTGGACTCTTCCCTTTTCGTTAATGTTGACGTCTCTTGTTACTGTTAAGAGTCATTGGTAGCTCGAAGCTTCTATTATGGAGAACCAATTTAGAGCGACTATAATAAAAACAAAAGAAGAAGGTTTACCAAACTCTATCAGATTAATAAACATACATGGGAAAAAACAAGAAACTACACTGTTTTGACATTCATTATTAGTACCAAACATGGAATCAGCCAAATGAACATGTAGGTTTGACGACAACATGTCTTTTTGAGCTACTCATTATTTGGCTTTACACACGATTAAGGAAAAGAAAAATATTGGGTTTAGGTTACTACCTAAAAATAGTTACGTATAAAAATTATAAGGATAGGTCCTAACTATATGAGACCCATGGACCACCTTTTTTCCAACTTGTCTACTTCTAAGCTAAACATATCTCCTCATCATTTTTCTCGTTAAGAATGGAGCTACACTAAGCTTATTTGGCTTCACACAAGATTGAGGAAAAGAAAAAGATTTGGCCTTAAACTATTAAAGCTAAAACCTAAAAAAACTTACCTACTACCATATCTACAAAAAATCAAATTATAATTAATTTAATGTATCATTTTCAATTGCTGATTCATTTTAAATTTTTAATAATTGATAAAAAAAACATTGAGATTGATGTTTCAGTACTTTTGTAAAACATGTTTCACAATTCATTTAAGAAAAAAAAACAGATTGTATAACATGATCTAATTAAATAAACAACCTTCTAATTACTCAATCATTGACATGACCAAGAAGACACTAATTTCTTATAATCGAACTTGCCGTTCAAGAAACCATCACCACCCTTTTGATTCCTCACTTGTTGCTGCACCACCAACACCGAGCCTTCTGATGCAAATATACTCCCAGCCACAGTTTCTCCAATGACTCCAAGCTGGTGATCTTCGCTCCAGGCGTCAAGCCCTTCTAGAAGCTTTGTGTTGATCCCTTCTCTCCTCCCTGTTATCCACAGATCATAGTCATTGACATTCATTGCTTGGATAGCAGCTAGTGTTTCCGCACCATTCTTCACCTCAACCTCCTTATAGCTAACCCTCTCTTTACCTTCGTTTTTAACCCAAAACCACGTCACCACCCCATCGTCTAGCTTCTTCTCCCTCTCGTCCTCTCCTTCGTGGTTGAACGACAAGAACCTAACTATCGTCAAACTTATGTCCGGGTTTGCTGTCATCCTGTCTGCCAGATGCAGGGCCTCTCTGTTATCAGCTCCTCCTAAGAAAAGAACCACAAAACGGTATGTTTCTTGCCTCACACGTTGGCCCGGTTGAATCGAATGTTGCTGGTCTACCGAGTACCTTACCCTGGCGTTTCTAAGCCGTCCTTTGCCATAATAGATACATACAGAACATGGTGTGTATGCCAAGACATCAGCGTTCACCGATAACATGCCGGAGTCACGTAGCTCGGTAAGTGTATTGTCTTCAAGACAATCTTGTTGATAAGGTAATAGAATGAAAGCAGTTTTCTTGGCCAAGGCCAGCTCGCAAATATCTTGGTACATTAGACGTTTTGGTGCATGAGCAGTGTAGGCACGCAACTTCACACACTCATCTCTCTTCTCCTGGTACAGCTTAAAGGCGCTTTGCACCTCGTCCACTCGCCCTTCTTCTTCCTCCTCTTTTTGTTGTAGCTTGTGGTCGATAAAAACTGGTGAAGCTCGCCCCATGAGCTCCACCAGCTGGACAGCGTATACAGAAAATGGGCTACTTGTAGTTGGATAGGCAAAGTCAAGGAAGGTGATCAAGCCAGACAAAGCTTCATGGTCGGAGACGGCAAGAACTAGTCCCATCTCAGTTGATGGTGGAGTATGCTGGATGGTCCGGTGCTTGCTGATTCTGTAAGGACGATTAGGATCATAGAGTAAGCTGATGATTGGTGATGATACAGCCGTTATCACAATAGTATGCAAAACCAAGAGAGTAAAACCAGGAAGACCGATAACATGTTTCCTGTAACAAAGCAAGTAGAGCATGATATCAAGTTGGCCTCTGAAGTTCATTATGAGGCCAAGCGTGAGACTGTCTCTAGTAGGGACTTTAAAGAAAACAGCAGCGGCAGCGACAGAGATAAACTTGGTAATGAAGCCAACAGTGGTCATGTAGACGAGAGGAGCGAGTTGGTGGTCCCAAGTATCAGCGGTAAGGAAGTGAACATCTGTGTGGAGTCCAACCAAACCAAATGAGAAAGCCATTAGAAATTCATGTATAAAAGTCTCGCTCCGAATAGCCAACGTGGACCCCATGGGTGGACCATGTGGGAGTATCAACCCTAACCAAACAGGTCCGGACCCTATCAATAAACCAAGCATGTCCGTTAGGAAACAAGCAACAAGAACACCCATGAGAATCATGACAATGTAGTTCTGGTCGACGAGTTTTCCCTGCGGTGTTTGGTCGACCACCCACTCAAGGCCACGTTTCACAACTAAAACCATAAAACAACTGAAGATAACAACTGATACAATGTAGAAGACAACAGCCTTGACTCCACCTCCCTTAGCTTGAATGATAGCTTCGAAAAAAACAAGAGCCAAGATGGCTGCCATATCTCCAAGAAGAGCCACCGACATGGCGAACTTGCCTACCTCGGAGTTGAGAAGGTTCATGTCTCTTAAGATGGTGTAGATGACAGGGAAAGAACTGAAAGCCAAGGCAAACGCTATCCCTCCAACGGAAGAAGGCTTCCCCATGTTTGTATCCATTTGGTCACGCATGGTCATCCCCGTGGCAGTCATGCAGACCATTGGGACGATAACGCTGATGGCAGCAATGTACTTGTGCTTTTTTGGAGACTTTGCAATGGCTGCCACGTCGGTTTTGGCCGCAGTGATAAAAAAGAAGTAAAAGAATCCCATCAGCCCCACGTTTGCAAATATGTAACTTGAAACTGGTGGGAACACGTAGTAATTGAAGTGACGGCTTCCTCCAAGCATGGACGGCCCTACCACCATTCCACCCTTCAAAACACAAACAAATTATCATTTTTTTTTATAAACAACATCGGCTGATCTGATCAGTTCCGATAAAAACTATCTTAGTACTACATAGTATATTTTTTTTTTTTGAAGAGCCACTACGCTGCATGACCCGAATTTAGAAAGGTTTTCTGATTAATATTATTAATAGCATGATGGAACTGTTTGTTACTGAACCATCATGTAAAATGGTTGGGGTCGAATCCCAACCCAAACTTTCTACATAAATGGGATTATGTTTCAAGTGAGACTCAAATTTCAGGAGAGTATTTTAGAACTTTCTCAGGTTTCATCTACCAATTGACCAAAGGCCATGCAGACACGTTTAGTATTTTAACAACGTTTTATTAAATTTAATGAGTATAAGATCAGTGACTAACAATAATCTCACAGACGATACGAGGTTGACGTAATGGTCGGAGGATGAAACAAGTGACTTTGATGAAGAAAATAACAATAACTGCCTCGAGCAAGAAAGTTGAAAATGCATAGTTCATTGCATTTTCGCCTCTGAACATTCCAAACGGTTGTCTACTATGAATCTGTCGGCAGACCACTGGAAGCCTGGCCGAGAAAGCTTGAGTAATAATAAGCTCACCGGGGGAGGTCGGGTTGTCCGGCCAGAATCCAAGATGGATTGGCAAGACAGTCTGGCCATTGCTGGGAAAATATCTAACCATGCAAACTATTCTTTCAAACCACGGTTAGTCTCACGATGGGAGGATACCTAACCATGCAAACTATTGTTTTCACCTAAAGCGTAATGATACTGCTCATCAGTGGAGAGAAAGAATACTATAGATCCAAAAGTGGTGTTTCTTTTTTTAAACAGATGTGGACATGCGCCATTTTGGGAACACTTCTAGCTAGTTTTTGATTAGTCTTCATGTCTCTTTATTTCTCATTATGTTTTTTTTCACTCGCGAAAACATATTTTTAGCATAATAAAATAGTTGTGTTACAAAAAAAAAGCATAATAGAATAGAAATGGCACCTGTTGGATTTTCTTACACATATTTTAAGAACCATTTACGCATTTTTTGTTAATAGTATGAGCGATGAACCATTTGTTTATTAACCGAAAAGCGCCACTCTTTAGATCAATACTCATGAAATCATAAAACAGAAAAAAAAATCATAAAATAGATCTTTCAATCTTCAGTTGCATACTTCAGGTCCACGGCTCAGACAAAGTGCCTAGCAGGCCCCCACTCCTGCCGTTTCTCATGATACATATGTACACGTAGTTTTGTTTGCCTAAATGAGTGCATATTACAATATGAAACATGAATGATTTGTTTGTGCTGAACAGCGTCACAAAGAAAAGAGTAGGGAATCATAAGTTTTACTAAGCTTATGAATCATAAGTCTTCTCTTTTGCAAGCTAGGCTTGGTTAAATATGAGGCATGTCTCATCATATTTTCTCAAACTTTATGGTTGTTTCAACCATACCTTGTATCTTTATTTTGATTTGAAAGCCTTTTTACAAAAAAAAAAAAGAAAAAAAGAAAAGAGCAGGGAGTTGTGCATGTGGAAAAGGAGACGTTAAGGAAAGTAATCAAAAGATGAAAAATCCTCCTGCACGGCGCTAGGATCTTCATAAGCTAAGCAGGCGTCACCTTTATTCTTTCCCTTCTCTTTTTTTTTGTCAACATTCTTTCCCTTCTCACCAGTATAAATCTTGATATTATAAGGCCACTGATCTTTGTAACCCCTCTTCTGCTTGATTCTTCCAACCTATTATAAATGCACCATTATCCCTATGTTATGAGACATGCATGGAATAGGTACCAAGAGAGTAGTTTTAATGAGGGTAATTTTTCAGATAATTGAGGAAGAGTTTCTTTGGTACATCGTATTTGCTTAGCTGCAACGACGATATGAATGACGTGATCCAACTTTTATTCCTTTGGGATTAGATCAGCTCTGAATATGGGCTTAGGTCAGCGTTTTAAGTTCTTTATTATCTTTTATTTTGTTTTGATGTTGCTGCTTAAACAAATTGTCGATATGTCCGAGTGGTTAAGGAGATTGACTCGAAATCAATTGGGCTTTGCCCGCGCAGGTTCGAATCCTGCTGTCGACGTTTTTGTTAACGTTTTTTTGTCTTTTTCCAAAACACACACCTGCACCCCTAACGGGCATCATCTACCCATGTGAAATGTGAATTATCTTCTTCCCCTGCACAGTTGATCAATCTACTCGTATTCATTTCAAATTTCCAACTTATATATTTAGCATCTCATTACTATTATTTTTCTTTTTGGTTGAAATACAGAAATAGTTTTTTCCATTCAATTAAAATGGTTATTATATATTTTTCTGGTAAAAGATTATATAGTGTTCTTATTTGATCATAATTTAAAACAACTATCAACTATAATAATAATAATGTTCAAAATATCTCTTTAAAAAAAAATTATGGTTAATTTTGAACAGGTGAGTCAAGCTTTCAGTCTGCCAGCTTACTAATTTGCACGTTCCAACGCACTAGCTCATCTGAAGACCATGTAATAATCATCTCGACTAGCTAATTAGCTAACGGTTTTATTCTATGTTCTAATAAAGTGCTTTGAGTTTGAGATATGTGAAAATGTGTTTAGGTTTGAAATGAAAATTGACAATATGTTAGGTTTGTGGAAAATAAAAAAGAAACTAGAAGTGTGATATTTAGAGTATTTCTCTATTATGATAAAGATTTGTATATTGGTTGCCAAGAGAATTAATGCTAGGTTGGCCACTAGTCCTTTTCAAAATTTAACATATATTTATTCAAGATCACCCACTATTATTTTCTATTTTGTTTTTGCTATTTCTAAGAAAAACAGATCTTGAGTTTGTACTATTTATTATTCCCATTTTCTTATTATGTTTCTATTAACAAGTACACAACGTGTATGCAGGGTAATTCAACTCATACGTTATCTTTTATTTCTCACGTGAATTCCATGAACACTGAAAAAACAATCGTCCATATATTCCTATATATATCCCTACCAAATGTAAATGATTTCTAACTCGAATCAAACGAAGAGAACTCAAATATTTTTGAAGTCGTTGACACTGTAAGAAGAAAAAAAGATATGTGAGTGGGAAGATGATCATCATTCATCACCATCATCATCATCAAAGCTCACCATCATCATTAAAGCTTTAAAAAGAAAGCACCTGAAGATTCGTGACTTGTGAGAGAAATCACAACTCACGTGAACTTCAAGAGTTCGCACGTATATAAACGTCACAATTATACACTTTCGTACTGATCAATCAGTCACGGTGGACAAAAAAATAAAATTAAGGGATCCCTGCATATAACTAAACATTATAAAATCTTATTAATAATGGGTCCTCCTCTCTTCCATGTATAAAATTGCATTTTACATCTCAATAATTAATACACAAAATATACCATTATTTAGAAAGTAAAGACCATAAGAATTACTATACCATATAATATATATATATGCTTTATTAAGATATATCATATCGTGTATTTGGATTCCGTCGGTGGCAGTGACTATACCATAGTTGAAGCAACAACCAAAGCAGCACCTCCACTTCCTCCACTGCCTTCTCCATCATCGATGTTAGGAGTTGCCTTGGCTAGAAGAGGCCTTTTCCTTTTTTTCTTGTCGTAGGGAATCCCTCGAGCCTTAGCCTGAGTTTCACGGACTTCTTTAAGATAGATCCTAACAGCCTTGGCAGCGAAAGGGTTTGACTCGGGAAGACCACCGCCTATTTCCTCGAACGCAGCCCTAAGACGACCGATGAGAGCGTCGAGGCTTCCCCAAGCTTGCCTGAGAGGGCACGTGCATTGAGCTGGTGGGTTTGGCTCTCCGAAGAAGGGACAAGCCGGGACGTGGACTTTGGTCTTACCAAACTGGTCGAGGTATTTAAGGAACTCGATGACGTGTGCGCCACTGCAGCGAGACAGGTTCAGAGGTGGCTTATGGTTCTTTAAATACTGAAGGACAGTGTTCCAGTCTCGTCTTTTCTGAGACTCATAGCGGCTTGGAGATGAGGAGGAACTCGCCGCTGCCTTCGCTACGGTCTCTCCCTCCATCTATGGAATATGATGATCCTGTGGTTATGTCAGGATATAGTTTAAATATTAGGGTTCTTGATTTATTTTGTGAGTCTTTGTGTGTCTCAGAAATGGAGGAGGATGACTTGATTATTCATATTGTTTGGAGAGAGAGAAAAAAAGAGATGATGACTTTTATTTTTGCTCAGTCACAAGCCACAAGCAACAAGTTGGACTTGATTATTCATATTGTAGTTTCTCACCTTTATTTACGTCCCATCATCATATTTCTTTCTGTGGGGAAAAATAAATATGGAAATTGAGATGCGTCTTATTTCTATTGCCACCATGTTTTAGCTTTCATTTTGATTAATTTTGTTTGCTAAATATATTTGATGTCTTGATATGCTTTTTTGGATTAAGGAAACAAATTAATATGAGTGTCGGCAAAACTTAAATATTTAGGGATCTGATAAAATGTCTAATGGGAATTTTTTCTCAACATAGAGCTACATATGTAGTTATGATTATCTCAAAATCATGAAAGACTGTATGTGAGAGGGAAATACTTTCTAATATTTCTTCTGATTAATATATAGTGTTATTTTGATATTTTATTGTTGCAAAAAGATCAGTTTAGAATTCCAATTTAGTTTTAATATTAGATATACTATACATTAATTTTATAAATAATTTTATTTATCTCAAATACTATTGGTTAAATTAGGTAAAAATTCCGTGTGACAGCAGAGAAAGTACCCATAGAGCATATATTTCATCACGGCATATAGTTTTCGTGATAACTTACATTCAACAAAGTTATGTATTTAATGGTTTTAGAAATCGACATTTCTGATGTGCACACCTAACATAAGGATGATAAGTGTCTTTTTTTTTTTTTTGCTTAAAAAGTGATAATTGCACAGCGTTAAGAACATCTTTTTCACGAGGGAAGTTAAGCTGACGACGTTAAATGGAGACTACCGTTCAAATCAAATGCTCTATAGTCTTATACCTCCCGTGATTCATTTGATTTTATCGTTTATAAATCTTGTTGATACATTAAATCATATCAATACATGGCTGATCCAATATTTTTGCCATTAAAGGAAATGTAACTTTTTCTCTTTCATTGAAAATTAGTTAATTTCTGTACCATGTTCACTCATTCAAGTTAATTGTTCGCTGATTAGTAGCTGTAATCATCAAAGGTTGTTAGCAATTGTGCATGCTACCTAATTAATGCTTTATTGACAGCATATATGATTTGCTATTTGTTAAATACTACTATAGGATATGATTTCTCGTTTTCCTTTGTCTTAATCTGAAGAGTGTCAATTAAACCCATGGTAGATAGACACCAACTAGTCAACTGACACAGTGACACTCAAGGTCTAGATGTCTTTAATACCGTATAAAATCTGCTAACTAAATTCTCAGTTTATATTTATCATTATTTCAACTTGACATTCTTTTTACATCATGGAATCGCAAAATATGATTGGGTTCGTAATATTCTAATATATAGAAATGGTGTGGGGAATTTTTTAAAAGAGAGATGGTGAGAAGTTGGTAGTGGGTCATAAAATGAAGAAAAACTAGCCATTAAAGTCTAATAGTCTACTCCACGGAATTTAATTTGATCACTCACTCGCCATTTACTTAACATTCATTGTTGTGTTTGGTGCTTAGTCCCATACCTATGTGGTCACGCCTTTTCACTTTTGAGTAGGTCATCCATCGTATACGTAGCATGTTTTGTTTTCTTCTTCTAATCTCGTATAAACCTACAACATAATCATTAAATTCATGATGGCATAACAGTATAAGCTCTCATCTTCTGTCAAACAAACAAACTGATGGATCTCATCCTGTGCTGTAAAATAACCGAAACGTACTTCAATTTGTTTGTACAATTTTAATAAAATACATTATCTTCGTCTTAGTCTTTTGCGCAAATCATTTTAAAGACCACTCAATCTGATGCATCTAGAAAGATGGAATCGCATGATTACACAAAAGTAACTTAACTTATCATTTCTTGTCTTTAAAGAAATCGTTGTGCATTTCATAATTTTCATCTAATTATGACACTGGAAATGAGAGATCTCGAATTGCATTTACTTCATCTCGAGCCATTTGAGTCCAGTATGTTTGAAATTCTCACAAAAAAAGTTCAAATTTTTTCAAAGTATTAATAGTAACAAATGGACACATTCTTTGAGACTTTGTTCCAAGAAAAATAGGAAAAAGATACGCATGCCTAATTAAGAAATATACAAATCAAGCGTCTATGATATAATATTAACGATCATGAAAGATCATGGGGGGTTTTATAAAGCCATTGTATTCCACTGGTTTATTCAGCCACTATGGACACTATAGGCTTCCCCCTGTTCATTGGTTCATGTATTCTAGAGCAATGGTTGATCCAAGTTAAGAAAATTAACTAGCATAAACGAGGGTGCTTCGGCCTTATTTAACTTTTTGACAACATAGTTGGTTTTGTAATTTACAGTGTTAAACTTTAACAAATATATACTAGGGAGTTTGCATATGATGATCTTTCAGAAAGATAAATAAAAAAGCAAAAAAATAATAACAATAAATGAATACAATATTATGTGAATAAATTTAATAATATATTTTTTATATTCCTAATTTATGTTATATTATAAATTATTAAATTTGTTACTAAATTCAGTATAACATCATCACCAAACATATTAAAAATGGATTCAGTTTTGAAACCAGTAATCAACAATTCATTTAAAATTGTACGCAAAACTAGAATAATATTGTAAGTGAGTTACTGAAAAAATGTACTTTTATTTTTTATTTATGTATAATTTTTCTCTTTTCGGTTAAAATGATTTAAAACATATACACATGGAATGTAAATCTGAATCGACTATACTAAATTCAAAAATAAAAATAATGTAAAATGCAGCAATTCCAATATGGATAACAAAAAATTAAATTACAAAATAAAAAGTATACATAAAAAGAAGAAGAAAAAAGAGAGTTTATATCATATCTGTGCAGATGGATCATTCATCATAGTACACAAACATATAGAATGTGAATAGCATGGGCTTTATCGATACGGGCCTATAAATATTGAGATTTATCATGCTGTAATTCTTGACTTCTCTCTCTCTCTTTCCAAAACAAAACGAACTCTTGATCCAAGAATCCGAACGCAGGGGAATCTTCTACTCAAGTCAAGTGTCTCTGCCATGAAACCACGTCTGAAGAACGTCTCAGGTCTAACCATTACCCCGCGCGTTACGAGAGCGATGATCCCAAACGCACAGCAGATTCCTGACGATCTCATTGTCGAGATATTCGCAAGGTTGCCGTCGAAGTCCATAGCGAGATATCGCTGCTTATCCAAACTCTGGGAGTCCATGTTTCGACGTCAACATTTCACAGAGCTCTTCTTGACCAAATCTTGCGCTCGGCTTCATCTTCTTTTCGCATGCCAAGATCACGCAGGAGAGCTTATCTTTTCCTCCTCGCCTCAAAATCTTGATGACAACTCCTCCCCAAACGCCAACGCCAACCATCTCGCGCGTTTTTCACATTCCCGTGAACTATATGGTTGCACCAACGGTTTCTTCTGTTACGGAGCTGACATAATCTTCAAGGAGCTGAAAAAGCCAGCGCGTGTTACGGTGATATGTAACCCTAGCACGGGACAGTCCTTGACACTACCAAGATTGAGCGCGAGGCTGAGGTATGGAATTGGAACCTATTTTGGATACGACCCCGTTGAGAAAGTGTTCAAGGTGTTATCTGTGTGTGATGGTTGGAACTCTAAAAAGCACTATGTTCTCACATTAGGAAACAAGAAATTAACATGGAGGGAGGTCGAATGTTGCATACCACATTATTCTTCTCCTAACTGGATATGCATAAGTGGTGTATTATACTATATAGCTTCAACATCCCTGACCTTACCTGCTTTTACGGTAGTTTGTTTCCATCTGAGGACTGAGAAGTTCAGCTTTGTGAATTTTAGTAGAACACTGCCAGGTTCAACGACTATGGTAAACTACAACGGCGGATTAGGTTTGCTTATGGCGGAAGATGCTTGTTACGTTAATCGAGCTAGTGAGATTCTTGATCTGTGGGTTCTACGTGACGAGGAGTGGTTCAAGCATGTATACGTGTTACCACTACCTTCTTTGTGGGGTGATGTAGTAGCTGGAAACATGCGCATTGTTGGAATGGTTGGTGTAAATGAGATAGTCTTGGCCCCCTCGTCACAACACGTGCCTTCCTATGTGGTCTACTACAATGTCGAGAGCAAGAGGATCAGAAGAGTTGGAATCCAAGGAATGGAAGCGTTTACGGGTCAGATGTTCGATACCTTTGTCAACTACGTTGAAAATGTGGAGCTTCTTTAATTAAGCATTTTTAACTATGTGGTTTCTTTCTCTAGCGTCTTAATTTGGACTCTGTAAATAGTTTAGTACTAATACAAAACAGAGACGAGTTATAAATATGATGATATGATAAATCACAAGTTGTTGTTGTACATCATTTTTTGTGCCGTTTTGGGTTTGTATCGAGTAGAATATTGAGTTATTACATTCTTCTAGTGTCTTTATCAAGAGTCAAATTAAAGAAGTTGAAGGAAGAGCTATAGATGATCGATTCAATTATTAAGAAACATATGATCCAAACCAGTCCTGTTTTTGTCAGGTGATGTAGCACATATACTTTGTTCACTTGATTTAACTTGATTTTACTCCTTTTTGTTTTATTTAATCATTTTTTATATTGCTTCAAACTGGAAGATAAGGTATCAAATCAAATCATAGGCATCTGCAAGAAATAAAATAAAATAAAATTGGAAATATTTATATCAAATATACATATTGGCATTTGCCGCATTTCACATCAGACATGTCTTCTTCCCTTATGACTTGTCCTACAAGCTAGGTCAGCCTTTGCCGGGGCTGCGTTGTCCGGAGGTTGCGGGAGGAACGCCCGGGTTGTGTTTTGGATTTGCAGACGGGTCATTATAATCCTCGACGCTCACCATCTGGGACCTTCTTTCGAGTCGTCCAATCTTCCTAAGACCTAAACAAAGCAAAAGAAATCATTCAAAGATATCCAAAAACACAGATAGAAACGAACAAAAGGAAAGGAAAAGAAGAGATCCAAACCTGAAACATAGACAGAAGTACGGGCTGAGGATGTAAGTGTAAGCGTCAACAGAAAAAACACAACAAGTCGAAGTACAAAACTCATTATCTCTCTATTTTGTTGGAGCTATTGATGTGGAAGTAATCTTAAAGAGATTCGTGTAGTGTGCGTTGTATATTTATAAGGAAACGACAACTGAGTGTGTTTATTGTGGTTTATCCAAATTGATGTTACATCTCTTCAATGTCAATCAGTATTCAATAGATACGTTACATTAATAATGTACATTTTTAACTTTTATTGTAATTGCGAGGGAAATAAAAGGTCAGAGAGAGAGATACCAAGAGGATGAGAACACTTGTCATGCTATATGTGGGGGTTGGAAAAGAGGTGTGCAAAGTGTGGTGCCACGTTTGTCACATCAACGCCAAGCAAAGTGGAAGTGCGGAGGCATAAGATAGGGACTGACACTGTGTGTATCCGTGGTTCGTCAACGCTTATTTGAATCATACCTACCCCAACTTTGTTGACTTTTTAGCCTTATTATTCCTTATGGATGGGTATCGTCTGTCAAACGGGTGATACACCGGAGATTCTGCAGGTTATGTATGCTGAATGAACGAGAAAGTATATGAGACAAAGGCTGATAGAAGAATTAAGTTACCACCACACTAGTACATAAGAAAAACATTTAACTTTTCTTTTCAATATGTATGTATATAACAAAGATACCATCATAGCTTAAATTAATTTTTGAATGCATGTAAAAAACTTATTAGTACCTGTTCCACAAGGCTTTTGCATCTCTTCTGATATCTCGGTATACAAACTGAAAGCGACATATTAGACGTCTATGAACATCTTCTCCACTTTAGATTTGAAGAATTAATAGTTTCACCTTCACGCACAAAATATTGTGTAGTAAGTTTATTATAACCAATAAATATGAGATAAATTTGAACATGACTTTAAACGAAATATATACATGACTTTAAATAAAATAATATCAAACTTTATGAAATCAATTAATTTATAATACATAGAATGGATTTTAAATTTAGTTTTATAAATGTGTAAAATTATTAGTTATAGATATACCTTTCATTTTATTGTAATATTTTCACTTGATTTGCCATTAAATTAGAATTTGTAATCACGCACACACGTGAGATAAGTGGTCACCACTCACGAAAAAGATTGTGAATCGAAATACAGAACAAGCTTGCGAGGTTTTGTACATATATAAAAGAAAACAAAAACAGTTTACGCGTTCAAGAATCATCAAGAAAGTGACTGTTTATATTTCGCCGAGAAAGAATCTAGGAATCCACCAAGGCCAATTAAAGTTTTGTACAGAAAACTCCAACTCATACAGTCGCACTCATAAATCTATATAGATAGAGTTACACATATTCTCGCACACCACAATCCACTCTGGACCTGAACAAATCTCTACATATATTCGTTATTTTCGTCTAACATGGTTTATCTTGTAACATCCACAACCGAATCACATCTCATATTACTAGCTACGACTTTTCAACGGTATTCTTCAGCAACTCGATTAAAAGATTCTTTGAAGAATGTTTTTAAAAAAATGATTCTTTGAAGATAAAGCTAATGTACCAGTTTGTAATTATCTGGTTCATTTATCATCTCCTTAACCGAGTTTCTGATTAAACCAATAGGAAATGAGAACAACTGTTGTATTGGTGTAATAACTTTTTCTAGATTTTTTACCAAAAAAAAAAACTTTTTCTAGATTTCACAGTAAAAACCAAAATATAGTTTTGATGAATTTAGAAAGAAATTGGAAGGTTATGAATGATGGACCGACAGCTATGAGCAGACGGTACACGTATCAATCTAGCATGCAACTTTGGTCTCTTTTGTTAGACAGAATCTATACCTTATTTGTGTTGCAGATATCAATCCGTGACAAGTGACAATGTCCACATTTTACCAGGAAAATATTATACTATAAGGAAATTTCATATTATATTTCATAATAATCAATTAGTTACACAAATAAGTAAATGCACCCTATATATATACACAAAAACATTATAACTGTTTTCAAGTAATTTAATAAAAACTTTTGAAGGATAAATAAAGAAGAGAGATAGAGATCTAGCGAGAGGATCGAGATGAGTATCAGTGAATCATATCCACCGGCTTTCCGCCGTGTAATCAACGACGGAGCTCCATCAGCTACGACGGAGGTTGAACCGGTTCTTGTCCAGGACAAAGATATCGACATCCCGGTTATCGATTTCGAGGGTTTAGACAAGGAGATACTAAGAGAGGCATGCAAAGACTGGGGAATATTCCGTCTAAAGAATCACGGAGTACCGTTAGCGTTGATGTCACAGCTTCAGGAGATCTCGGAATCGTTGCTGAGTCTACCGTTTGAGAACAAACAGAAGTTGTTCGCTGCCGTTAACTCTCCGTTAACGTATTTCTGGGGGACACCAGCTTTGAATCGTTCGGGAGATGCACTGAAGAGAGGAGCTCAAGCTTCGAACGTAAGTATGGTCGAAGGTTTCAACGTTCCTCTCTCGAAGCTTCCAGCTTATACTTCATGTGACGATGATGCTCAACATTCAACGTTAGAATCTTTCAGGTAACGTACGGCCTCGTTTTGTTCTTTTCTAGGTGCTGATTAAATTATTAATGGCTTTTAATTAAGTTAATCAATCAATCAATCATTAAAATATAGCTAGCTAACGTACGTATTAGATTTCGAGATGTGTGTATGATACTACATGTTACCGAATAAGATATTGTTAATATGAGCTGTAGTATGAGTGGGGTGTAGTGTGTAGACTGTATAGATGATGATGAATAGTGAGACGTGCATGGGGATTGATTGACGAGATGTTTGCTTTTTTTCGTTTTCACACTTTTAACGATTTAAAAAAAAATTGGGTTTAGTGCTGATTTATTTTTGATTAAAAGTTAGTGCTGATTTATGGGATGTTTTCTGAAATTTAACAACTTGATTAAAGTTTTTTAACCGAAAGAAAACAACTTGATTAAAGTTTATCGCCACTATATTCTACTTTTCCAAAATTTTGTGACATTTTTACTAAAACTAAAAATATGGTGACATTTCGAAATGTTAGCCGTTGTATTTTAAAATAATAAAAATATATATCAAATCCAATAACATTGTTTGGATGTAAACAAATATACAAACTTTTAATAAAATGTGCCACGTTGTATATGTAACGCCTGTGTAACACTTGTGTCTGCACTTTGACATTTTACTAAACAGCTTATATTTTGTGCTATGCAATGTTTTGTGTTTTTGATCCATATTTATATTGCCAAACTTTTTTTTTACAAATAAAACCTTCAAACCTTAATTTCGAATATCTACATATAAAATTGTAAAGGTTTGAAAGTGAACATTTACATGTCCAAACTTCAATGTGGATAACTTCGTTTGTTCAAATTTGAGTGTGAGCAGAGTGTTGATAGAGGAATATGGAACGCACATAACTAGGATTGCTGTATCCTTATTCGAAGCTATATCACAAACACTGAACCTAGAATTATCCGTTGACCGGAGATCAGAATACTTATCAGAGTCAACAGGACTCCTACGAGTTTACCGGTATCCTCCTAGCGACAAGGCAGCCGGAGAAGCTCTGGGAATGGAAGTCCACACTGATAGTTCAGTGATCTCAATACTAAAAGAAGATGAAACTGGTGGGCTTGAGATCATGAAAGGTGAAGAATGGTTTCGAGTAAGTCCTGTTGCTGATACTCTTATTGTCAATCTAGGAGATATGATGCAGGTAAACTTAACGTATTTATGAGCTTATCATTTATTTGATATATACACTATGATTTACGAATGTTTTATATATTCAGGCGATAAGCAACAATGAGTACAAGAGTGTCACGCATAGAGTGAAGAAAAAGGATAGGACGACAAAGAGACACTCGGTGTGTTATTTTGTGTTCCCACAGAGAGATTGTGTGATAAAGTCATCAAACTATAAGCCATTCACGTACTCAGATTTCGAAGCTCAAGTTCAGGCCGATGTTCAGTCACTTGGGACCAAGATTGGCCTTCCTAGATTCGCCCCTGAATCTCCTCTCTTTCTCTAATCTTGTCGGAAAATTTTAGTATCTTAAGAGCATGGCTAACGCTTATAGAGACTTAGTTTGGGTGTCTGATTTATAAAAATACAAAATGAATGGTTTTTGTTTCGTTCTATTTAGGCATCTGAGCCAGACCTGCAAGGGAATATCCACATTCTTTTTCTCTGAAATGTATTTTCTATAAAACATAGAAAAGAAAGAAAAGACTCAAACAAAAGAAAAACTAATATACATATTTTTATATCAAAAGGCGGAATATTCTTTTTTATTTCATAGTCTCAAATAATTTTGAGTTGCCGTGATGATTTTAGAGAATTTAGTCACTTTACAACAATTCACATGGACCTACTGTTTTTCTATTATGATAAATGCAATTTTTAAACAAGACTTTTGAAATTGTTTATGAGATAACTAAAGCAATTGCTTTAGGACTTTAGTGATAGTTGCCACAATTAAGCAATCTTGCTTTACTGTGAATCTTCCATACTGTCATTATAAAACTTTGCTTTAGTGAGTTGCCACAATGAAATTAATTGGTATTAGTGGTTAGTGGAGACCACATCAACTGCTTAAAACAAATCTTTTTTTTTTTACTTAAAACAAATCTTATTATCAACTTTAACAAATTGTTAAAACAATAATCACACATTTTACAATTTTACTGATCTTAATCAATTATTCTTTTTCAACTCTGGTTAGCCTTTGGCTTAGTACTAGTGAAGTCATGACTAACGAGGCTCCAAGACAAACCGCACGAGCAGCCTTGCATGCTTCAAGACCTCTCCAGCACGATCATGGAGCCGGACGGCACGAATTCCAGGCCTGATCTCCGACAACGGAAGACATGTTTGGCCAGCGAAATCGTTCTGAGTGTTACTGTCGTAGTCTTTGACTGTGATGCACAGAAGCGCTAACTCTGGAACACGCAATGAGAACTCGAACTCTTTATCCCAAACAGGAAACCATTCGTCTGTATCTGTTTCTGTTCTGTAACTTGTTGTGTCTAAAGGTATCCCTGCGATTCCAATCTGAAACAAAAAAAATAACAAGTCAGGTCACTTGTGGGACAAGAAACCTGTTAGGGTTTGATCAGTGAACACTTACCCTTGCGTAGAAATCAGGAGGAGAGTATCGATCAAAATAATCTTGAGGAAAATCCAGATTCCATCCTTCTCCATTGTAGATCTTCACCTAATCATACATCACATTTACAGAAACAAAGCTAAGATGCTTTCTTGTAGTCCAAGGAACATATGAAAAGGAGACAAAGAGAAAGACCAAACCTTAAGAACTGTCTTGATCTGTAGACTTTTACTGGAAGGGTCAAAATTTTCACCTCCAGAACCATTGGAAAGCAAAACATCAGGCTTTTTCACATAACCACATCCACCATTGGCTTTAAACATTCCTTGCATTATCCACAAGAACCTCCCATGACTCTGCATTTACACAAAAACAAAGTATAATAACCATATATACTAATCTTTTTCTTTATACTGAATATCTAGATAACTTACTTGCATATTGAAGGCAACCATTTGAGCACCATGAATCCATCCAACCATAGGATCATAGTTTGATGAGTCAAAACGTGTAGTCTTGGGAAATATCCTAAGAATATTCCTCTGTGTAAACTTTACTAAATCAGATCCACGAGTTTTGGCCAAAGTTTCTAGCCACTGCTCACTCATGCTTAACCGTATGACTCGGTTAGGATCACCATTCAAGCAGTTCTTTAACCCTCCTTTGCGGTTTCCAGCGTGAATTGAGATCAAGTCTCTGTATTCTATCGCCACATACTCCTCATCTTCATCTTGAATCAGTTCTTCTGCATCTGCAACTTTCTGTCACAACACAAAACCCTCAAAAAGTTATTTAAGAAGTAATAAAGGTAACTTTAGCTCTATTTAGGTTAATCTTAATAAAACAATATTTTCGACAATTTAGGGACCATGTAACCTATGTATTATATCTTTTTAAAAAATGGAGGTCAAGACTGTGCTCAAAACTGGCCATGTTCTTACTTACTTTAGCTTTTACGGATTCATCTGTTGTTGAAGTTTGAGAGACTTGGGTCTGAAGATACTCTTTTGGTGGCTTAGTTGAGATCAGAATCTTGTTTTTGAGTGTTTCTGGTGAAGGAAAACGCTCTTTATATTCGTCTGTACATCGAAACAATGTTCCTCCAAAAGTCTTACTCACCATCTACAAACATTTCCACCATCAACCACACAAGCTCAGTGTTTTAAACAAGATTCTATGATTTTATCAGAATCTTACCTTAGCGACTTTCTTCTGAAGATCTGGAGGCAAATGGTCTTCTAAAGTAAGTACAACAGGATATTCAGACACCTCAAACGCGTTCTCCTTTACAGCGTTAAGACATTTCTGAAGATCTTCAGTACTTGTTAACGTCCTGAGAGTGACAACAAAACAAATCAAGAACTATTTATTAAAGAAGGGTTTTGATTGTTATGGTAAGATTCAGACCCGCCATGACGAACTTCAGCTTCGGTTCCAGAAGAGTTGGGCCATAAGTCAAGTTCGATGACACGAACTCCA